TGACGACACCTGTCCCGACGAGAAGATTCGCATGAATCGCGTGGTGCGCAACAATCTGTGCGTGCATCTGTCGGACGTGGTCTCGGTGCAGTCGTGTCCGGATGTCAAGTACGGGAAGCGTGTCCGCATCTTGCCTATTGACGACACCACCGAAGGCGTGACGGGCAATCTCTTTGAGATCTATCTGAAGCCGTACTTCCTGGAGGCCTATCGGCCCATCCACATGGGGGATAACTTCATTGTGCGCGCCGCTATGCGTCCCATTGAGTTCAAGGTGGTGCTGACCGATCCCGAGCCATACTGCATTGTGGCGCCCGAAACGGTCATCTTCTGCGATGGCGACCCGATCAAGCGTGAGGAGGAGGAGGAGTCTCTCAATGCCGTGGGATACGATGACATTGGCGGTTGCCGCAAGCAGCTGGCCCAGATCAAGGAGATGGTGGAGCTGCCTCTGCGGCATCCGTCGCTCTTCAAGGCTATCGGTGTGAAGCCGCCGCGTGGCATCCTCATGTACGGTCCACCCGGTACCGGCAAGACTCTGATTGCCCGCGCCGTTGCTAACGAGACAGGTGCTTTCTTCTTCCTGATCAACGGACCGGAGATTATGTCCAAGCTGGCCGGTGAGTCCGAGTCGAATCTACGCAAGGCATTCGAGGAGGCCGAGAAGAACTCTCCGGCCATCATCTTCATTGACGAGATCGACGCCATTGCCCCGAAGCGTGACAAGACCCACGGCGAGGTGGAGCGTCGCATAGTCTCCCAGTTGCTCACCCTGATGGACGGCATGAAGAAGAGCTCCCATCTGATCGTGATGGCCGCCACCAACAGGCCCAATTCCATTGACCCCGCTCTGCGTCGGTTCGGACGTTTCGATCGTGAGATTGACATTGGTATTCCCGATGCGACCGGCCGTCTGGAGGTGCTGCGTATCCACACCAAGAACATGAAGCTGCACGAGGATGTGGACTTGGAGCAGATTGCTGCCGAGACCCATGGTCATGTGGGTGCCGATTTGGCTTCGCTGTGCTCGGAGGCTGCTCTTCAGCAAATCCGTGAGAAGATGGATCTCATTGATCTGGATGATGATAAGATTGATGCCGAAGTACTGGCTTCGCTGGCTGTGACCATGGAGAACTTCCGCTACGCCATGACCAAGTCCAGTCCCTCGGCTCTGCGTGAGACAGTGGTGGAGGTGCCCAACACCACCTGGACCGACATCGGTGGCCTCGAGAGCGTCAAGAAGGAGCTGCAGGAGCTGGTCCAGTATCCAGTCGAACATCCCGACAAGTTCCTCAAGTTTGGCATGCAGCCAAGCCGCGGCGTCCTCTTCTACGGCCCGCCCGGTTGCGGTAAGACTCTGCTGGCCAAGGCCATTGCCAACGAGTGCCAGGCCAACTTTATCTCCGTCAAGGGTCCCGAGCTGCTGACCATGTGGTTCGGCGAGTCTGAGGCCAATGTGCGCGACATCTTCGACAAGGCCCGTTCGGCGGCTCCTTGTGTGCTCTTCTTCGACGAGCTGGACTCGATTGCCAAGGCCCGTGGCGGTAATGTGGGCGATGCTGGCGGCGCTGCCGATCGTGTGATCAATCAGATCCTCACTGAAATGGACGGCATGGGTGCCAAGAAGAATGTCTTTATCATTGGCGCCACCAATCGTCCCGACATCATTGATCCGGCCATCCTGCGTCCCGGACGTCTGGATCAGCTCATCTATATTCCATTGCCCGACGACAAGTCGCGCGAGGCCATTTTGAAGGCCAATTTGCGCAAGTCGCCGCTGGCCAAGGAGGTCGACCTCACCTACATTGCCAAGGTGACACAGGGCTTCTCTGGTGCCGATTTGACCGAGATCTGTCAGCGGGCCTGTAAGCTGGCTATTCGACAGGCCATCGAGGCTGAGATACGTCGCGAGAAGGATCGCGCCGAGAACCAGAACTCGGCAATGGACGTAAGTGACCAGCATCTCCATGAATTTCCCTATTCTATATCTATATATCGTTGCTATACAGATGGATGAGGAGGATCCAGTGCCGGAGATCACCAGCGCACACTTTGAGGAGGCAATGAAGTACGCTCGACGCTCTGTGTCGGACAACGACATCAGGAAATACGAGATGTTTGCTCAGACCTTGCAGCAGTCCCGTGGATTCGGACAGAACTTCAGGTGAGAGCTAACACTGACATAATTGTTGCCTTTCGACACGATTGCCAACTCGAAAACCCTCCACCCTCTCTGTTGCAGATTCCCCGGACAAACCGGCAACACCTCAGGGTCCGGCACCAATATGCCAGTAAACTCGCCAGGCGACAATGGCGATGATGATCTTTACAGTTAGATTTCTAGATTTTACACTGCTAAACAAAAACAAACACAAAAGAAAACCCCAACTTTTTAAATGAATTTTTCCCCGATAAACCGATAAAGCAAAAAAAATTACATTCGCGGCAAATAAACATCAAGTATCGCGAAAGTATCACAAGACAAAGCATACAAATCCAATTGCAGTTCAAAAACATGACCGATACCATCCCTGCTCTTGGCCATGGATTTTAATTATAAATACCATTCAAACTAAAATTTTTGGGACTAGGCTGGGTGCACTTGGACCCACCTAATCTGAATCTATTGTAATTGGCGAACCAAATCGCGACCCCACTTATCATTCGTGCATTGTCGGTGGAGAGTGGCTCCGATAAATGAGTTTCTATAAACATAATTATAAAGGATACACATACACACGTACATTTAAAGATAATACATATATTAAACACCGTAAAATTATAAGTGTATTTGGAGCTACGTTTTTAAGTGAATAAAAATGATAAATTCAAAGGTTTTCCTTACTCTTTTTCATCGAAGAGGGGAGGGAGGGACGGACAGTCGTCAGTGTGATCAAACTGATATGGTAGAAAGATGAAAATATTTATGGGTCGTTCAGTCGAAATTACTGATAGATATGTAGATAATTGATAATGTTTAAAGTCCTATCCTATTTCATGTTCCCAATCCTATTCGCAGTTCCCTTTAAATATAATATTTCTTTGATTTTGTTTTATCGCTTTTATTAAACTTTTATTCATTCGTCATGTTTGCTTTTTGTGGATTTTTCCATTCTTGTTTAATCATTTTGTTTTTCTTTTTCTTGTGATTTTCTTGCATGCTTCGCGACCAGGAGGACATTTTAACATAAAGTTTTGTTGAATTTATCCAATCGTTAGGTCTTATAAATAAAATCGCCATTGCTATGTCGTTCCGATTATGTAGCTGCTGGTTATTCAACTCAATTATTGCCATAGGTAGAAAAAAACAAAAAATTAAATAAACCAATAGTTTTAATGAGAAAAATATGTAAAAATGAAAGCAGGCGATTGTTTGAAGATTTTATTTTCTTGTAGCTTCTTTGGCGCTTGATTGAAATAATGTTTTTCTTTTCATTTGTTACCAGTGTCTACACTTTGAAATTTCTTGTAAATATTTTTGTTTGTTTTACATATTTATTTAGTTTTTTTTTGTCGGTTCTTATTTTTTGTTGTTTAGTATTTCTATTACACATACACATAATATAAATACGCTTTATGCATAATTACAACACAACAGTTAAAGTACGAATAGGTTTTCATTATTTTGTATCTAAAGTTTTTCTAGAATTTTTCATCTGCGATTTCCACGGTTTTCTTTGAGCTTTGCTTGATATTAGTTTACAAATATGGCGTGTATATATGTATATGTATGTGTCTTATGTGTGTATTTGCGTGTATGTGTGTGTGTTATTTGCGTGTGTGGTTGTGTAGTTGGTATGTGGAAGAAAATGGCCAGCACTTTCAGCATCTTAATTAATTTCTAGAAATTTAATCGTTCGATATATATTATTTGTTTTCTTTCAAAATCTTTTCTTCTAATTTTTATTTTTGTTTTGTTGAAAATTTTCAAGAATTTGTTGCTTTTAAAGTCTTGAACATAGACTAGACACCAATTAAGATTAAAAACATACTCGTTTACATTTATGTATATATGTATATTATATAATTTATTACTATTTGCTGAAAATTTGAACGATTTTTAGCAAATTTGATATTTCTTCCGTTTCTATTATATGTAGTTTCTTTTAGCTTTGAACACCTGTCGACTGCTGGTATGCCAGTTTAATTTGTTAATTTCTATATACTCTATATGTATGTATTCCTATACACATACATGTTTTTAAATGTGTATATGTTATTGATTATCCGTCTACGATTTGTTTTAGTTACGCATTTTGTTCCAAACAATGAGGTTACATTCATGTAATGAAAATAAGTAGTTGGAGTCGATTAGGGTTTGGGGTTTACCATAGTTTAAGCTCATTCAGTTATACATATAGAGATATAGGTATAGGTATAGGCATAGGTTAGTGTACGTGTAATAAATACAGGTAATGAACAGCAAAACACAAAACAGAAAAAAATATATAGAAATACGCTCTAAGTACACATTATCTAGGCTCTCGCTATTGCTTTGTTTTTGTTCACCTCTATAGCCCCGAACATACTAGAAACGAAATTTGAAGCAGTTTTAGCAAATGTCTCCCACAATTGCACACAGACAGAATTTAACTCACTCTCTCTCTCTCTCTGCTAAATTTCGTATTTTTTCGCTAGTTTTTCTCAAAGTTTTCTAAGTTGATCCCATGCAACATATTGATTGTGCCTGTAGCTTTATACTCCTGGTTAATTTTGGTTTTCTCTCCGCGCGAGAGTTGCATAACAATTAAATTCTCTCATTCGTTATAGTGAGATCGATTGCGAATGGTGGTAGTAGTATAGGAGGATACAGTATACACTGTGGCTTGCAAAATGAAGAAAATCAAACATTTCTGCGTTTCTGTTCAAGTGATTAGGAGTTTTACTCTACTATTATACTCCTATCGGGGGGTTGAAAAACACTCTGCCTGCTCTCAGCTGCTTGCCGTATAGACTAGTACATTGATTGATTTTTTTCAAGTTAAATAAATTAAATTTTCTTTCTTTTAAATATTTGTATATGTATGTATATGTATGTAGTATTTATCCTCTTTCGATCTGCTGATGATATAAAACTTGTTGCTTGATGTGTGTGTGTGTGTGTGTTCAATTTGCTCTTAGTTGATATATTTATATTTGCGTTTCGCTGATCGAATAGTTAGCAGCCAAGGAAAGAATAAGTGCACTATGACTAAATTATGTATAAATCAATTGATAACAACAAAAATATATGAATAAACAAAACTTAAATAAGCAGATTTAACAGTAGATTCCTTCCGTTGAGCAGCCGCCAATCGTTTTACTAATGCTGTACTGTACTGTACTGTTCTGGTCTGTTGTTGTTCGAATCCGAGACCATTTTACGCTCAATTGAATACAAATTACATTACAAATTACAATTGCTAAATACTCGTACATACAATACAATTCTTAACTTGTTTGATATCTCATTTCTTAAGTTTGAAACATTTGCAAAGCTTCTCAATCTCAACATGATCAACATAATATCCCACCATCATCATCATTATCATCATCATGAATGATCTTTATCATTATATTTAGCATATTATTATAGATTAAATTTCAGTTATCAATTAAATATTCATGTTTAAGTTGTAATGATTTTTGTGTCCTTGTGTGTTGTGGGTACTCGTATATGTTTGGTATTTGTGCTTTGTTTGCTGATTGGTTATTCTTGTTTTTTTGTTTCTTGTCTGTTCCTGTGGTGTGGTGTGGTATTGCTCATATTTCCAAATGAAATCCTAATTAAAATCCTATGAAGCCTGCAAGTGTTCTTTTTTTTCGCAGGTGTTTGTTGTTGGTTGTTGTTCCTGCTGTATTTGTTGTCATAGCTATAGTTGGTTATGGTGGCTGGTTGATTGATTGATTTATTGGTGGTTCAGACTTTTTATCGTGTATCGGTGATATTGTTTTTGCTGCCAAATATCTTCACCAACTGTGACTCGTAGTCATCAATGTTGCGCTTCATAATATCCATGCAAGGTCCCAGCAAACGCTCGAATGCCCTGACATCGAGGACTAGAAGAGATTTACAAATTAGTTATAGATTGTCATATAATGGCACAATTGGAAAACACTTAGATCATGCATGCTGTGGCTGAGGATATCCTGGGGGTAATGGTGGGGAGGGGGGGATTAGTGAGAATGCTTAATTATGAACATGTTAAAACAGAACCCACTCCAAATCATACGCTTCATCACCACAGGCCCCTTCTACTAATAAGTACCATCTACATATATGTACTCGTATATCCGTCTCTTACCGATCCGATAATCATTTGGGATCTGTTTCAGCATCAGACACTGACATGGCATTGTGCTCTGTATGGAAAAGTGCATTGGGTGGATGGGGGGGAGGATGGGTGAGCCAAGCGAAATACTTATGTTTGTGTGCATTTGAAAGGAAAACGATTCGAATATAAACTTTCAACTGAACTGGGAAATTTTTAATAATTCTTGTAATTCGATAAACTAGACAATAAATTTCAAGAGTTTGAGTTTGAAGTAAATTGAGAGCCCATTGATTACAAATTGGTATTGCGGCGGGCCATTTCGGTGAACATCTGCTCATAGATCACAATGTTGCGCTTGAGTACGTCTGTAAGGAAGCCCATGATGCGTTCAAAGGCCTCCGTGTCTAGGACTGGACGGAGTTTCAAATTAACAAATAGGAATTATGATAAACGTTTCTATGCTACAGTCAAGGCTACAGCTACAGCTACGGCTAAATTTACTGCTAATTGAGCTGCAGGTTGTCAAAGTAGTCCCGCAGATCGTCTTCCAGGTAGCGATAGTCGCTAATGCCAAGCTGGAGCACCCGATTGCATTTGCCCATGAGGCGCTCAAAGCAAACTACATCCAAAACTACGAAACAGCACACACACACAACACAGGCATAATGCGAGGCGATTTGGACAGGAAAACAAAACAAACAAAGAACAAACAAACGAAAGCATTAAAGATTAGCCAAAGCAGGATGAGGAGTGTAGCTGGGGATCAACGATATGCGGCGTCCGTGGCAACAACTCACATGCAAGTCGGACATGGCCGCCCGTGGCGTAAACGGAAGCGGCACGTGGCCGATGTGTCACCAGCGCCAGTTCACCAAAGTACTGGCCCTTGCCCAGCTGTGATATCTCCACCTCGGCATCGTCCTGATCCATGCGCACGGACACGGTGCCCTCCTCAATGAAGTACATGCCATCGGCAGCGTCACCTAAGGAATACACAACAGATAATTCCTGGTTGAGAAAAGCCAATGAAATGCATTATAATTATTATTCATACCCTGCTTGATGATGCGTTCACCGGATTCGAAGCTCTTTGTGATCAAAGCATCTGCCAGATTCATGCGTTCATAGTTCTGTCGATGCCACAATGTTTATATGTAGATCTATCCGTAGAGATGCAGCACAACACTCACCTGCAAGGCCTTGAGCATGGGCACGTTGTTCAACAACTCCTCGTACATTTTTCGCTTCTTGAATGCAGACTTCAGGAGAATGCGTCGGAAGGTCTGACGGTCCATGGCCCACAGAAGACCGTTGGTTTCCGCCTGCACGGTGGCCGCCCTAAACAAATTAAATAAACATTAAAGTAATCTAAATATATACCTATTAACACATTGTAATTGTCGTCGAGACAGCGCGGAAAATTTGCTATAATAAGACGATCAAACAAAGACGTACCTGGGCATATTGTAGAGCAGCGCTAATTCGCCGAAAAGTCCAGTGTGATTGTAGGTGTTAATGTGCTTGTCATTAATATAGACTTTGTAGATGCCCCTGCGGAGATTTAGTGGGAGAGATATAAATAAGTAGTAACGAAGAGGTAGCGAAAATCCATTTAAATTTAATGCAATTTATTTATAATTGATGCGGTTGCGCTCTGTCTCTCTCTTTCTGACTGTGTGTGTGTGTGCGATTGAGTGCTCATCAATATGCAAATGCCTATTAATTGCATTCCATATCGAACGCCGATTAAAATTCCAAAGCAAATAGTAATTAATTAAGTGTGCATACACACGAAGGAATAATAGCAGGCTTAGTGGGTGGCAAATTGGGCGGAGTTTCGCTGCAAAATGTATTAATGTAGTAGAAATATTACAACTGTTAGATACAAAAGTATCTAAACAGTGCTAAGCGATTTGGTAGCCAAGGAAACTCATTTTTGTTTTGGCTGACTTTTGAGATGCGATAATTTTGGTAAGAGGGGATCAAAAGTATTTCTCATCCTAAGATTGAATCATATGTCACAGATAGCTTATTTTTCAGAATAGTTTTTATGATATACAAAAGGAAATCGAATCTGAAATAAAGTACTTTACATTTCCCCTTTATTATTCAGGTACCTTTAAGATTTCTTTATGTATCCACAGCACACATCTACAGAAAATCAGCAAGGACCGCTTGCTGGAGGATTTTGTGATTACATTTATCTCCGTTCAACTTTTGTCCTGAATTAAATATGATGACTGCCGCACAAACACACACACACACACACACACACATGCACGCATTCATCATTGATGAGGCTGCTTGGAAGTGATTGGAAATTTGTTCTGTTTTACTTACGATTCAATAACATAAAAGTTATCGCCATCGTCGCCCTGGCGTATGATATAGTCGCCCGGCTGAACTTTCCTCTCGAACATCGCATCCAGCACTTGGTTCATCTGAAAGACACGAAGCAAGGAAGAACGCAAAAGCAAGTTTGCTGTTAGAGACAGAGAGTGTGGATCTGTGGGTGGTATAATCCCCACGCAAAGGGAAACCGCAGACAGACACTTATTCGGGTTAAGCATCCGTGGCTCTGTGCGGGGGATTATGATTTATGTGTGGCAGTCGAGGACGAACCTGTTCCTTTTCAAGCGAACGGAAGAGGAGAACATTTTTCACCGACTCCACCAGTCGGGCTCGCTGTTCATCTGTTTTGGGGAATATGGCAGTGGCTCCCTCATCATCATCATCCGCCTCCGGATCGTACGCCTCGGCAAAGACTGATTTGCGGCGTGAGTTTTGCATTACTGGTGGCTCTGTAAAATTTAATTCAGAAATAATCCCATATTAGTCGATTAAACCATCATCAAAGTGTAAAGCAGTTCAATCAATCCCTTGAACTGTGAGCTGATAATCCCCTGTACTAAGCAGAGGCAGTGGCAGTGGCAAAGAGACAAGACAAGCTCTGACAGTGCCATTGTATCGTTTATTGCGGACATGGAATGTGCTGCCCTGGCCATGTCCGCCTCCAGCTGGGATCAGAATCGAAATTTTAAATGAAACTGCAGGCCATACAGCAGCTGCAGTGAAGAGCTCACATGTCACAGAATGCACATCAGATACGGGTAAAGAATTTGCTTCCATGTACCAGTACCAAGAATTCTAAGTGCTCTCATTGTGTTTCGCAATTCCAGGCCACAGACAGGGCAAACAAACGAAAATGAAAACTGCATAAATGTTGGATAAACTTGTTGGATCTACTATCTGGTGGATTTCCATGCAAACAAGAAATTGGTCTACAAATTCAACGCAGTAGTAGCTCTGTGGCTTTTTCTCAGAATAACTGAATACTGAAACGCACTGTAACCCCCCCACACACACACACACACACACACACACACTCATAGCCAGCCACTAGGTTAAACTGCTGTGCTCGTAATTATGTATACATATGGACATATATATGTACATATATGTATTCGATCTGTACAGCCACAGCCACAGCAGCAGCAACACCAAAAGTGTCTCTGTCCGTTCGGAGATACATTCGCTTGTGGCTTGTTTTTCATTACGTTTGTTGTTTTTTTTTTCGTTTTTGTTTGTGTTTTTTTTTTCGTGGAACCAAATTTGGGATTTTTGACATTGCTTACCAGCCAATAAATTGCCAGACACCTGAGTAGACATTTTCAATTGAAGTTTGTTGCTTGGGTTTGTGCGTGTCTCTGAATTCAGTTACGATTTCAAATCACTTGTAACGACGAGTCGGTCACACACAGAGACACCGAAACCAGTTAGGCATGAACACGTTTAAATAAGTATATTGAATAACTGAAACAACAGCAAAAAAATATATATCTATCTATCTATATATACACGTATTGTCTGATGCATCTATGTACATATAGGCACATATTGTGTGTGCAGCTTGCGGCCTCAAGGTGACTGTTTTCCGAGCAGTAAATGCACGGAGTGTTCTACTATTTTAGCTTTCCCGTCACACGCGGCGAATGCGTAATAATAAATATTTATGCACTTGAATGTTTCAGCGACGGCGACGGAGGCGCAGGCGGCGTCGGTTGAGCCTTCAACAAGTCACTGAGCTCTCGAGTGTGTCTCTGTGGCACTCTCTATCTCCCCTCTCTCTCTCTCTTGCTCTCCATCTCTATGTCTTTCGATTCGATTTCGGTTACAGATTTTGCACTGACTGCCATTCTCTAGCTCTTCAGCGTCATTCCGGTTGTCGTTCTTGGTCTCGTTCTCGTTCTTGTGTCAAGTTGCCAACTGGAGTGTCGGTTTAATGATGCAATTACACAGACAGACACGCACACAGAGAGATAAAGAGTGAGTGAGCAAGAGAGCTCCTTGTTACTGAGCCACAAAAATAGTGCGGTTTAAGCAGGAATGACGGGGAGGAAGGGAGGAGGAAAATGGCATGAGTGGCGTCTCGTCTGTCAGGATTGTGCGGGCATCAAGCACCGAGACAATGGCAGAGAGAACTCTGACACTCAGCAAAACACTCTTCGGTTGGACATTTCCTCTTCCATAGTTGGATGTCTTTGGTATTTGCTTTGATTTCATTTAATATTCCACATTTTTGGTGTTTTGTGATATCTGGTCGTTTTGGTTATTTTCAACCGCTTAACGATGTCCATCGGACATAGTAAAAGGAACAAAGAAGAGACTTTCGTTTGATTTTAAATGCAAAAAAACAGTTCCGAGATTTGTTCTTTGGTAGTTGGGCACGAGAAGGCTAAAACAAAATACATGCAATTTGTGAATGCAGTGGGACTAGAGTTTGCTATTCGACTAGAGTTTCGCTGATAAGGATTGTTCGTTGGCAAAGCTGCAGGGAGGGAATCTTTGGGTGGATGTCTCTGTGTGTTTTCGCCGCGCATACACACAAACTTTAAATATAATTAGATAATTGAAGCACTGATGAAAGTACTTCAATTACGTAAGTGTCCTCTTAGCCACACACACCATGGGGTGTGCCCCATTCGTATACACACACACACACTCGTCGGATAAGTTGGTGGAATTTAATTAAGAATGGAACATAAAAAAAAGAGACGGGTTTGCATTAATTTCATTAGTCAAATGAGAGGACACCCGACCGAAAAGGGCTGTGGAATGACAGAAACTAGAAGGAGAATGACAGCGACGAGAACGAGAACGAGGACGAGAACTCAAACTCGAACGATGACGTTTGACGGCGACAGATATTTCATCTAAAGGTATAACCGAATGAATGACCAACCGGACTACGACTACGACTCCCGACTAACGGTACTGAATGACACTTGTTCGGTTTGTGTATGGTGCTATCCTGTTGACGTTTGTCGAGTGACTGACTGACAGTGGCAGTGCCATTTCTGGCATAAGGGCCGCAGCATTGGAGCCACCGCTGGATCCGACGCTGGTGCCTATGTGTGGGCATGATGACAGGCAAACGGGGTGTCAAACCAAAGCGGAAATAGTGCCTGCAAGTAGGCAACACACAGCATGCCACTCAAGTGGTTCCTCCGCCCATTTATTTATACATATTTCTATGGCCATATGTATGGGGGCGGCATGCCTACCCCCTGTCCATTCAACGTTGAGTTCTCTGCTATAAATAGCACACACTGTCACAGCCACACTCTTTGTCTTGATTAACATGAGCAATCTCTCTCTCTCTCTCTCTCTGGCTTTTTACATGGAAAAAACATACAGATTATTATTAAGCGCAACAGGAGGACAGAACCAAACCACCCCAAAGTCTAGGCATCTAGCCATCCAACACACACACACACACACAGAGCTCACTGATGGAGAGTCATTTCCGTTTAGGTTTTGGACAGAGATACGAATATACTCAGAGACCATCCACAAAACGCCGCTGGCATGTCAATAATGTTGAAATGTTACCCCATCCTCCGTTCATCAGTCGCCATCATCATCCCTGGGGCATGTCATGCGCCCTGTGTGCCCGATGAAGCGTGTTTTGAGGCTGAGTTGGATGTTGGATGAGCTGTTCATCAGTATGCCTCAGTGGTCGCGCTCAGGGCTCCAGAACTCCCCTTACTCCTGTCTATGATGGACTACTGCCGCCGCTGCTCCTGCTGCTTCACCTGTTCAGAGTGTTAATAAAATGTACCATGGTCAGCGCATACCTCTCCTGCCAGCACACACAGTAACACACCTCTCCTGGAAGTACACACACACACACACCCTCTCCTGGGAGGACATACTTCTTTTGGAAGTACACGCACACACACCCCTCCTGCCAGCAAACACCTCTTTTACCAGCACACACCTTTATTGGGGGCACATTTTTTTGGGTCTCCGGGCAAAGTGAATTTCCCCCGACTTTAAAGCTAAAAAATTTAAACAGAACGCTCTATCCCCGAAATAGACATCAAAGCGTAAAAATACAAACAAAAATCGATGTGGAGCGCGTCGAAGCAGGGGAAGCGGATGATAGATCATGGATAGAGGAGACAGTAGCGAGGAGACAGGTAACGGGATGGGATGGCCATGGATATCTATTTGCGTGTCACTCTCGCTCCAGTTGAGGCAGAGCTCGTACAGATTTTGAGGGCTTCAGTGAGCACGGGAAGCCTTTGGCTTGGGAACGGGAATCGCCGCAGACGGGCAGCCACGGGTTAATAGTGAGACAAAAGACCCAACAAAATTGCTCCGAGCTCCATCCAAACTAGGATTACACATATACATACGCATACGTATGTATGTATGTACGTGCATATATCCATATGGTATATATCCGTAGAATGAGAGCTGCATCCATATTGTTGGCTCTGCTCTTCGGGCGGCAGCTGTGTGCGCAATTAATAGATTTTTAATGGCAGGAACAGCAGCAGCCATGGCCACTCCCTTTCCTCTGTCTATCCTTCTGTCTGTGTGTCTGCCAATTGCCACGACCCCGCCCCTTCATACACTTGACATCCCTACCTCGTGGTGTTGGTATCCCTCGAGGGCTGCGTGTTTGATTAACCGGAAGATAAACACGCAAAAGGAAGCTGTGAACAAAAGCCTCAGAGTGGGAGAGAGAACGAGGCAGAGACAGGAACAAATTGAACTCTGCTAAAGCTTCATCGCCATCATTATTTAATTTGGTTTCAAGATAAACTATATACAGGATATATATTCGGTATATATACCATGGAAGCCGAAGATTTATGACCACATCATTTAGGGTGGGGGACGGGCACTAATTATCCGCATACCGAACACGTGCTGAAAGGCCAACAGAAAGAGAGAGAGAGAGGGAGAAAGATGGATGCCTACTTCGCTCGGAGATACAAAACTTTACACTGAACGGAAAAACTTTTCAATTTCTACTATTGCAGCAGAAAAAGGGAAAGGAAAATCCTATAAATCAAATTGCTAATATGAAATTACTGCCAGAGATGGTCAGAATTTTACTTGCTCGTATTCGAATGTATTCGAATGTTCCTGGGGGATGTGTGCGGTTGTGATTTTTGCAAAACATCGACTGAAACTGACATTGCTGACGTCAGCTGAAAAATTGCAGCCAACAAATCGCATGACGGAGGAAGAAATAAAATAAAATAAAAAGAAAAGAAAAGAAACGGAAGATAAAAATAAACCAAGAAAGAATGTTGCAACACGCACGCAGACCCCCTCCCAAAGGAATGTTGACGCACACGCAAATAAAAGGAATAGGGAGGAAAATCCAAAGGAATCCACAAACGTAAGGTTATGGATATGACAGGACACGCAATTGATGGGTGGGGTGCCCACACTCACCTTCTCCATCCTGGGAGTTGATGCTCTGCTGATCATCCTGACTGTGATCCTGATTGGCCGGGGCCGGACGATTGGCCTGCAGCTTATTGAAATAATCAGCGGCATAGTCGATCACATCTGGGGGCTGCTCCACCAAATACGCAATGGAGAACTGCAAAAGGACCTCCTTCAGCTCCTCGGGCACTTGGATACGCCGACTCGAATCGCTCGACATATTTGTGTATTTTTTTTTTGCTCTGTTTGCTGTTGGTTTGAAAAAGAGATATACACATACATGAGTTTTAATTGTTGTAATTTCCATTTAAATAATTTATAAATTATTCCGTGAGAACTCGTGAATTTTCGCAAATTTAATTCACTTTAAATACAGTTTCCATGGAAATGTGGAAATGGCAACCGCTGAACATGGGTTGTGGGCAATAATCCATCGTCTGCCAAACGAAGATTACAATATGCCAAGAGATTGTGGTCCCTCCACAGCCACACACTTCATTACCATAGAACTCTGAACTCTGTCGCCATCTCTCCTGCCACCTGCAAGCACATGAACTGCAATCAAACACCCAGCCCCCGAAAATTCGCCGGAGACTTCAATGCAGTCGCCATTGACGACGATGGTGGGGGGGTGGCTCGTTGGCGATATGTGGGAAGGTTAACCCGCCGATGTCTGTCGGTCATTTAGATGCAAATTACCCCCAGCCGTGATCCCAAGCCCTGCTCTATAGCTCCTCCCGCCGCCCTCTCCACAACCACATGTTGTCGCCCATCAGACATCACAGACATCAGGCATTACCCATCGTCGTTCCACAGCCCCATAGTCCCATCGCCACAGCGCCCCATCGCTTCGCGTCAGCTCATGATTCAACATTGCACAATTTTAGATTTTGGTCTTGTTCGTCGTTCGTCGAAAAGCGACAGACGTGAGATTCATGTTAAATTTTTGTCGTTATCGGTGGGTTGTGTACCCCACAAAAACAAGTTGCAACCAATAATAATTTACGAGTAATTCACTTTTATACTTTTATTCTTTTTTTCATTTTCTTTCTCTTTTTTGCTTTGTTTTTTTTTGGTATAGAAATTTGAATTTGGTTGCATATGGTCGCTTGTTTTCCCAGTAAATGAGTAGTCGGAGGGGTGGAGAGGGTATATAGGGTCATTTGAACAGAAAAGATATGCGAAATATGTGGATCTCACATACATACATATGTACGTGTGGAGTTGTATCTGATTAAAGCTAATCTCCGAATCTGAATTTTCTATCGTTTCTCTCTGATTGAATGAATGCTTCTTGATTGCTATTTTAATTCTGTAACCCAAAGATTATACAAAATCACAGAATTAATATTCCTGTCTATGCTTAAGTGGCTGTTCCCACATTCCAGCCATTTTGTTATTCATTTTTCAACATTTTCATTTTTGGAAATCAACAAACAACTTAATTTTTCGAAGAAGCAGCATTAATATTTATAAGTTTCCTGCAAATATGCGTAATTATGTAAATTGCATATTGAGTACAAGGCGCTTCCAGGGCGCTCTGTGGGTGTTCCGTGGCCGGGTGGAGTTTTTTTCCAGCTCAAGAAGTACATATCCCCGCTCTCGCCGCTCGCCTGCCACGACAACCGCCTCTACCTCAACAATTGCCCGCAACATTTCATTTGTCGTAATTTGTAAATTAATTTCTGGCCCCAGCAGCAGACGCAACGGTGGCTCTGTTGTGGCAGTGGAAAGAATGGGGTTGGGTTTAAGGCTCCAGGATATTGGTCCTGCTGTTGGTATATTGTTTTTGTGTGCAAAGTTTTTCAATTAACTTCATTAATATTCAACTTTGGGCTACAGCTAAAGGCCTGGCGGAATAAATAAATATTTAAAACTAATATAAAGGTTGCTGCGTATCCTCTGGAAACGCTCTGGCATCGTATCGGTATCTGTAAGATGCTTTCTATCTCTCTGTGTCTCTGTCTGCTCTCTCGATTCCACTTAAGTACCACCTCTGGCCACTGCCACTCTGCCTCTCTGCCTCTCTGCCACTCTGCCACTGGCACTGATTGGTCGATGGTCGAGTAGTCATAGCTCTGGGCATTGTCTGGCAGCCATTTAGACATGCAATTAGAGTGGGTCAAGGTGGTTCACTCAACGCAATGCACAGCAATGCAACGCAATGCAGCGTAAACGCAAAACGCCACTGCACAAAGCAGCTATAAATAGCCGCCATGCCTCTCAAGTAATGGGAGTCTGAATGTCTGAATGTCTGCCAGTGTCTACGCTTTGCATCTCCATCTCCTGCCCCTGTCTACGACCAAGCCACTGCATCCCCTTGAGGACACAACACTATGATGGTGGCAAAAGAGAAAAAGTGTAAACCAAAAAAAAAAAGATAAGAAAATAAAAATGAAAGAAAAAGTTAAACCATTTTCATTTCCTCACAATTTCCGCAGCAGCCGGAGAGCCCAGCCCGTAGCAAGCGGAAGGTAAAGGTGCACATCTATAGATGTAACGTATACTTAAAGCATACAAAAATGTATATATGTATGCTATGTATATTCTCAGCGGTAAGGAAACTTGACTCTGGCATACAAATAGTTGCAGGTTTCCTTTAGAAATTGCACATATACTCGTATATTAGTTCTCCTTTGAATGAAATGTAATTCATTTCACGCAAAAGTTCTGTTTTAAGGATTCATACAGAAATACAGATTGCAGAATCTCTATAATATATAATATTATTATTGCTACAGATAGCCCGCTGTTAGCAAAGGGAAAATTCACGAATATAGAACTTCTCCCTCAGCAAATACAGGAATTCAAAACCATTTTCTAGTAACTGCTGCCTGCTGTTTCCTGTCGACTGTTTCCGCCAGAATTTTCTCTAATATTCGCATCCCCATTCGCATTTTCATTCTCATTGTCATGCACATTTCAAAAATAAAATTCCATGGTACGAGTATTATTTGGTTTCAGTTTCTGCAAGGCTTGCCCATCCATTGGCCGGCCAGCATCATAGCCATAACCTACCATTATGCCCCATCATCAGCATCGTGGCTCAACCCATAATCATCAGCAGCCGTGAAACGCTTTTACGAGGATGGGATTAAACCAAACTAATTTTTACCCTCCATGCCATTTGAGGGAAAAGCTCACCGCAATATAGCCCCAGGATGGAGCCAGAGCATCCCATGGACTGCCATTAAAATGATTATCTCTTCATTGTCCCTGTGGGTGTGTGGGTGTGGGGTGGGTGTTGGGTACACTAAGTAGTGCAGCTATGACTCCCATTTTAATGTCATTTTTACTGCAGCTCTGCAGCAGGTGGCACGCCCACCCGTCACGTACAGCACCACCCACCACAGTCCCAGGCATAGCTGTGGTGCACAAAACATTCTTTGGAGCTTCCGCTTGATGGCAAGTTATTTGCCTGGAAACTTTGGTATTTCATAACCATTCCGATTCAGTTATCGTCCATTTATTGCCAATGGTAACCGCTTTAGGAACTCTATAAATTAATGTTCTCTCTCTCTCTCTCACTATCTTTGCGCAACATTTCCTCAATCCCATATCAAATGACAAAATCATCTTAAGACCTTGAGTCTTGAGCGTTAAAACCAAACACAAAAGACCATATGACACGACACAAACAGAGAACGAAATGAAGGAGCAACTGATGCTGCTACTGCTGCTGTTGCTGTTGCTGTTTTGGAAACCTGTTTCCATGATTCTTCACCAGAATCTGCTCCTAATTGCGAGTCAGTGACAAAAAATTTGTTTTGGAAGGCAGGGGCGATGTTATCAAATTACGTCAACAGTTCAGAAATGGGGGAAATGGGACACCTGTGCGAGGGTTTTGTCTAAAAAAAATTAACTTCATTAAGGAAGGGCCGCCCCACATGCGTGTGTAACATCTAAAATTTGATGGCCTTTTGCGGGTGTAGCAGCCCTCACTCCCGTTCAACAGTTGGAAGGCCTTAAACAAAGGAAAAACTTGTACTTGAAGCGACCTAATTATTATGTATGCCCCATGTCCATATCATTGTCATTGACACAGAGAGAGAGACAGAGTGACAGACAGAGGTAGAGAGGCAGACAGCACTATACACACACACACACACATCGAACCTCACTTGACCTCCCACACACACACAAACACCCTTCTCATGCTCCTCCAACTATGTATTCTATTGGAATGGGGTTAAGTGCCAGCGGCAAAAGCCAAATGACAGAACTCTGCATGGCAAAAAGATTTCCAAGAATAATCGTTGAGAAATAAATTGCGAGACAAGGCCAGCACCAGGGCTCAAGTGCAGTGCCATTGTGGTTGTCCCCGTCCTCGTCCCTGTCGCTGTAGCCATTGTTGCCTCTGCCCCTGAAAGAGTGTCCTGTCACACACATATGTTTATAAATATGTATGTATGTTTGTACGTGCACTCGTATTGCATATGCAAAGTGGTTAGACGCACAAGAACGAGCAAATAAAAATCCAATTATGATGCAATTCCTGCACAAAGGATCAGAACGCGTGAATGGGGGGGGGGGGAGGAGGAGACACTCTGATAAATGTGAATCCAGGATGATCATTCATACGAGGAATATTGATGATAAATGCATGCATAAATATTATAGTTTCAAGGCAAGCAAACCAAAGTGAAACTGAGAGAACAAATTGTATCTGTGGTCATGATTAAATCGTTCTATAGTTCTCTCTCTGTCTCTGTCTGTCTACATATCTCTCGTTCTTTTCTTGTTCAAGCTTGTTATGTGAGCGGCGCTTCCGCATCACGCATCACCATCTATGTACATGCATATCTGTTTTCGTCCCTAACTTTTCTTACTCCTTCTTATTATATTTCCAGTTATCTGGTTCACCTCATTCCACGCCCATTCACTCCCCAGCTTATATTTCGCTTAGCCATTTCGTTCTCCTCTCATGTAATTTCTACACTTAAAAGTTCTCCATGTACCCGCTGGCATGTCCCCAATGCTACCTGGTGTCATGTCCGGGCTGTCTATATGCTCTCCTGGAATGTTTTTCTCTTCCGGTCAGTGCATCAAACTGGCAGCTCAAGAAGGAGGAGGGGTGGAGAGGGAAATATGTAAGATGTCTGGCCCTGCGAACAGGGCACTTAATATTCGTTGGCATTTCAGTTCCGGTCTCCGCCACCCACTGAAATGCTTTCACAGCGGGGGCGGGCAGGGGAGGGGAGGTATTACGAAGGATATGTGCATATGTATATGTTTCTGCTTATTGTGAC